TCCAGCATCACAGAAATATGCGTCCTATGCGATCCCATCGTCATTCACAGATACCTCGGAAAAGTTCGTGATGTAGGTTTTTTTGGTTTCATTCATTGATTTAAGCTCTAACCTTTTTTAAAGAGCTGTCATGCTGAATTGATCGTGACGATAGATTTTTCCGCAATTCCGTAGTGAACACCGGGCAAAGACCATTTCCCATAAACCTCCCACCACACACATAATACGAGAAACCGCCAATCTATGCAAATGTGGACGGGCGAGTGGCGCTGAAGATCTTCTGGGTGTTGAGCCGGGGAACACGGTGGGGTAGAGGGAAGGACAGGTCCTTGGTGACGAGTTGCTTGATGTAGGGGCGCTTGATATCGTCGGTCTTCTCGATCTCGACGACACGGAGGATCTAGGGCACATGTTAGCTAGAACTGCCTTTCGCTTGTTTCGACTAGGGTTTCGGGGCACATACGTGAATGGACCTGAAGCGGGCACGGTGGCGGGCGGCCATGTCGGAGTAGAGAGCCTCGACAGCATCTGTTCTCGAGAGCTCACGGTACTCCTTGTACATGTTGTGGGTGCCGGAGCGGGAGTCGTATCGGATCCAGATACCGAAGTTCTTGACGCGCAGAGGGTTCTTCTCGTTGATCTAACCAAACATGTCAGCCTCCTGACCTCTACTATGATGGCGGGAATTGGACGTACCTTGTTCAGGGTGACAATCTCACCGTTGGCCTTCTTGACCTTCTTCAGCTTCATCAGGAAGTACCAGAAGCGGGACTTGGCAACGACCTCATTGGGGGCGAAGATGCGCATGCGGTACAGCTTCGGGGTGGGGTTGGCCTCGGTGGGCAGGTGGCGCCCGAGGACCTGGTATTCTTGAAGGCGACCTGGCGGCATCGAGTTAGCTGACTAGCTTGATTAATTATTGTATATGATGTCAAATGCAGCAGGCCATCTCCTCGAACGGCTGAGGCCTTCGACAAAATCCAGGTCAGAAGGCGGAATGTTGGAGCTGTGGATAAAATAGAAACTGCGGCGTGATCTGGCATGCGCGTAGAAGCTTTGCGATTGAGTCGTTGGTGGTACATAACCAGATTCCTTTGCCTGGCAAACTATCTCGTACGGCGACGTCCTTGAACCTCCTCTTTTAATTATTCTTTAACATTCGTCCAACATCCAGAGATTCGATGGCCCCTTCACACCGTTTTACTGTAGCAAGTGCTGAATTTGCCTGCGTACGAGTTCTTCGTGGCGAGTTCCGTCGAGAAAGTTGTCGATATCGAGTTCCAAGCGGCAGCAATTGCATCATGGGACGAAAAGAAAGTTGCTTACCCATCTGGAATCAATGATTGTTAGCACCCTGAGAAATTGCGCACTTCAAGAACGAAAGATGGTAACCTACTGTGATTTGAATCCGGTCCTGTTGTCGTCGAGGTTAGTATGGAGGGCAAGGTCTTGGACGGGTGCGTGTAGTGGAGGCTGCTTTGGCACGACTTCGGCTACGAGAACTTTTTGCGAAATTCTGTGCTAAGGGTTTCCCGCCCTAGCAATCAATTCGGACTTTGTGTGGCCGTGCTACACAGACCACTTGTGGGGTACTGTGGCGCTGACACTTGGCTCTAGTGGCTGAGCATCTAAGGTCCAATGGTGGGGTACCTACGGCGGTGCCAGCTCTCTGCCTAAGAGGTCTACAGGGCCCATGCACATGGGTCCGTAGAATGCTTGACTGAGCCAATCACAGTGTACCGCTTCGATGAATGGCATCTCTTCACTGGCTGTCTTCATTGAAGGTTGATGGTTTGTTTTATATCACTTCTAACAGTCTCAATAAAAACAAATCAACGACGACACGGTGAATTCCTAATATATCACATATCCTACACTCTTCGATAACCGCCAAAGTAAACTAAACACAACCGCTACTGCTGTTGGGAGTCCGGTGACCGATCCGGCCATGGACGGCCTCATTCGCCAATTTCGGGCGGCTTATGCTGCCACCAACGGCGAACAGCTAGCCGAGACCTTGAACCCCGACGTCCAGGCGCATTCGGCCAAGCTCCGGGCTATCTGGGGACGCGGTGATGTGCGGTCCATGACGACTGATCTCAATTTCCTCTTCCACCAAGACCAGGCCCGTCTCAGCATTAGGCTCTCTAAGGAAGAAACAAACGGATGGCACGCCATTTACACTTCTTACTGGAAGGCCATAGGAGAGATACTAGCCGTCGAAGGTCTGCGAGACGGTGCCCAGGTAAGCCGATATTCCAAGTAATATGTACTCTTATCAATTCTGGCGCTTCATTGCTTGCTTTTGATGTCAAAATCACAAGACTTTACGCTGACTAAACGCAGTCTTCGTGGGCCAAAGTCTACACTGCATGGAAAGATCTCACACTACTTACTGTCCGGGGTTATACGAACCATGAATTTGAGAACTGGACCATTCCGTGTCTTTATGTCACTGGAAGATACTTAAGGCTTTTCGCCATACGAGCCGATGCCGAGAGGGGTCTGAATAATGACGACACAGCTCTTGACGACCTAAAAGACGATTTTGATCCCCAGGCCGAGGAGCACAAGAGCCTCGAAGATTGCGCAAGGCACCTGAACAGAATCTTTCAGGTTTGCGCCTCAGATAGGTGATTACTCATCGTCGTTCGCTGGCTGTCTGGGACTCTTACTAATATGTACGAATTAGGGCGCCACTGGAAGAATCTCGCAAATGGGGGGTTTATTACGCTGTCAATCTACTATTCAAGACATACTTCAAGCTGAATTCAGAGCCGCTCTCGAAAAATATCTTGAAGGCAATATCCGCCGGTCGAGCTGACATCCCTCCAATTGATAAGTTCCCAAAATCTCAGCAGGTCACCTTTAAGTATTATGAAGGTGTCTTGGCCTTTCTGGAAGAGCATTATGTCGAGGCAGGTAGCTTGAGTGATCCGCTTCTTATCCCCACCATGACTTACGGTATATCAGGCCGAGAAACATCTCGAGATGGCGTGGCTCATGTGCCACAAGGATGCGCAACGAAATCTTGAGTATGTGCCTTTCATTCTCGCGCCTAGTGACTCATGTCCTAATGTTCTTCAGACTTATACTCACTTACCTTATCCCGTGCCGTCTTTTAACAACCCACACACTTCCCAGCGCACAGCTGCTGGAGCGATTTCCCCGCCTACAGAAGCTATTCATGCCGCTCGCTCGCGCTATCAAAAGATCTGATCTAAAAGCATTTGATATCGCCCTGCGCGATGGCGAAGATGAGTTCATAAAGAGACGCGTCTATTTGACGCTAGAACGTGGGCGTGACATCGTGTTGCGCAACTTATTACGCAAGGTATTCATAACAGGAGGGTTCGAGGAAGCCAAGGACGGGGCCCCGCCCGTGCGGAGGACGAGGATCCCCGTCACTGAGTTCACAGCAGCCGTACAGGGAAGCAGTGGAGAGCAAATCGACACTGATGAAGTGGAATGTCTCATGGCCAACATGATATATAAAGTAAGTCGTACCTGCTAGTCCATGCATGACCATACTAGCACTTCCTATATCTGGATAAATGTTCCCATTTAAGTCGCTATGTGACTCGAATCAGGATGGTCACAAGTTGATTTCTACACACTATAAGCTACACGTTGCCCATACGCGTTGCTAATATCTTGATCTAGAATCTTATGAAGGGGTATATAGCCCACGAACGCGGCATAGTAGTATTGAGCAAGTCCGGTGCCTTTCCCGGAACAGGTGTATGAGTCATGGAATGTGCGGCTATTGAGCAAAAACGACATGCGCAATAGGACTCTGAAGTATGCATGGCTGCGGCAGAAGAGGAGACATCGCACGATTATGACTGTGGTCGGCGATACTGTTACGAGGACATACATCTCTATCGGGTAGCCCTCCAGGAGGCTAGAATCGGTATCATAATGAAGATGATGGTCGGTGTAGGGAAGGCAGATCAGGTAGGCAAGTAAATAAATGGCTATTGTGAAGTCTCATCCTGCCACTGTAACACGAGGAAAGACATTCAAAAGGGGAAGAGCAGGGGACTACTTACGGCGCAAAGATATGAACCGCGCATGCCCGCGTAGAGCGACACAACTCACGTATCTTTCTTGCCAAAGAAGCCAAAGCCGTATGTAGCTTTAATAAAAAAGGGGCTCAGCCAGAATCGTCGAGACGATTGATGGCGCATTATCTAGTTTGTCATCACGTAGCCTAGGCTGAAGAGCCGCAAGGCGTATCATGGCTACCCAATAATCTAAAATCACAAGAACATAAATCCGGAAACACCCGCATGAAAGCAGTGCATTCGATATTCTCGCAACCGCAGCAGTGCAGGTGGTGTAAGTAAGTAAGTAAGTAAGGCTGGCACCCGCAGCAATGACTCACCCATCTCAAGTCATCCCTCATAAATGCCGAGTACTACCTACCGGTACCATTCCCCTCCGTCAGCTTCTCCGACGGCGCACCTCCAACTGCGCGCGCCATTGGTGGACGCTGGGTGGGCAACCACCTACTACTGTACCGATTCGCAGTATTCCGGGAGCCTAGAGAAAGTGAAGCAAGCCGTACTACCCCAGATCTGCGATTGAATTGACGAATAGTAGCCTAGATACCCAAAGTAGCCAGTAAGATCGTGGCGCATGAGTCGCTTGTGTAGCCATTTGAGTTGCAAGCTGGCCTAGAATGATAGGATTTTGTGCTGGAACCTGTGTAGATGCGCTGGGTCCGTGGTGGGTGTGAAGCGACATTGGATATCTTGTCCGAACTCGAACCTTGAATCGTTTCACTTTATGCAAAGACTTGAACTGCCAGGGCGACGGACAGTGGATAAATAGTAATTAAAGGAAAGTAAACTGCAAGCAGCGAGCAAGCAAAACACCTTAAAAAGCTAAGAGCAAAAACTCATATAGCAGTAACATAAAATACACATGAAACGTAAAAGAAAGAAGAAAAAATACAACAGCTAACTAAATAACTAACCAAAAAGGGAAAGTTGTACGGGCTCGACCGGGATTCGAACCCGGGGCCTCTCGCAATCTTGATTGAAACCCAAAGCGAGAATCATACCTCTAGACCATCGAGCCGCTTATGATTTCTGCCAATTTATCGGCTTACACATCTAATGGATTTTAGGCTCATTGCTCTCGTGGAGATTCTCTTGCCAGGACTGGCAAAAGCAAATTGCTTATGTAGTAGTACCTACATCGTTTAATTATTGATTATGAAGTTGACGAGTTTTATTATGAAGAACTTAGGCTTTACGGCTCGCTAACACAACTTAAAAAAAGTACGCGGGTTTTATAAGGGGCGGACTTAGCCATCTTCACACACGAACGCCTTGGAAGACATCGAGGGGTAGTTAAAGTATTATATACAAGAACAGCATCTAACATCATCATAAATAGCATCTCATCTCCCAGACACTCTTTCTCTCAGTGTCTTGCTCCCTTATTTGTTCCAAAATGTGAGAAAACCAGCCTCGATCTTCTGTTTACCTGTTTGTCTGCCTCCCTTCTGTTGGGGAGGAAGGACGTGAACCCTTATGTAAACGATAGTCTAGAAGTATAAAAGTACATGTGTTATCGTATCGTGAAGGGATGGGAAGGACTTCGTAGGAAATGCCGACAAAATAAGAAGGCAAAATTGATCCTCCAGTTTTGCAGTCTTGATTCCCCTGTGCCTCCCCCAAGCCTGCTCCCAATCTTATGGTTTTTTCTTAAGCACTCCGTCGCTGATATCCCCTGGTAAAATCCACCCAGGCGCGAAATACAACCGCGTAGAAATAGAAAGGCCATACAGATCCGCAGTGGCGGGATATTATCAGAGGTTCCTGTCTGGCCGTAAAGAGATGAAAAGCTAATAATAATAGTAATACAGGGCGTCATAAATGAGAAGAAGATAAAAAGCGAATAACAATCCGAATAGAAATGAGATGAACACTAAACGCCGGATTATGGTATTTGTGCCAGTGATGTGTTCAATACCCGAAGCAATGTAGAAAAGCAGCTCCGTAGAGGCACTTCTGGAAACGACAAGACAGAGAGGAAGAGGGAAATAAAAACATGGCAACGTTGATCATTAAATTTGCCGCCCATAGGATAAATAGCGACGACGATAGGGTACGCATATGATGAGATTGGGATGAAAGTCGGACAAAGAAGAGGCATTAGGATATCACAAAAGAACGGGGTAGAAAGGAGTGACTAGAAGAAATGACGATTGCTCCGCGGTGTGTTTCTATTGATTGGTGTCAGCGAGCTTTCATATCGGATGCGTTAAACTAAGTGAAGAGACACTTACGAAGCGCTGGAGACATCGTCGACATGATTACACAAAGCGACGAAGAGATCAAAGAACAGCTGTGACCCGCCGTTATACATTTCCAGCTGCATAGTGCCGCTGCGCTTGAAGGTACTGCGACTACGAATGATGAGGGCGAGATAATGTGCTCGGAGTTTGGAATCGGTGTCTGGCGTATTGGCGTACGCATAGCGAGCCGACGCGAGTATGGTGCTGCACTGGATGCCAGACTCTGTTATCGCCAACGTTAGCAGGTGCAAATGAGAACGCACGGATGCAAACTTACGAAGCCCTTGCTTCCGCAGCGCAACACGCTTAAGCTCTTCAAGCCCGTATTTATCAGCCGTGCAGTAGATGACGGTGTCCTTCAGGATGTCGCCGTCGATAGCGTGGTGGTAGATGGTGGACTCGCTGGATCCGCGCTCCTCGTCGAGCTGCTCGATCTCCCACGAGTTGCGACGCTTGTTGTGGACTAGTCGCGGGTAATAGTCTCCCTTGTAGAGGTACTCGAGGACGGACGAGAAGATCTCGGGTTCGTCGTCCGGCAGATGGACCCGTTTGCCATGCTGCGGATCCACGTATTGACCAGTCAGTGCCTGCTGGAACCATGGTGATGCGCAGAGGACGTCTTCATGGGCTGCGAAGATGCGCTGCTCCCGACCGATGATTAGGGTCACGATGGACGGTGTGAGGTTGCTGCATGTGAATGACATGTTAGAGGGAAACTTTGGAAATGATCAAATGAAAAGATGCATTTCACGTACCTCTCTGTTGGCATATTGTCGTCTATATGCTGCGACATGGATGTCGTCAAGCGACGGCGGGAATCATGCCGTGGCTTGGTGATGCCATGGCTCTTGCTAAAAGATGCACTCGACTTGCTCACTCGGTGTCCTTTAGAGAAGCTCTTGTTCGAAGGAGGGTTAATGTGTTTGCTGTGCATATTGTTGGAATGAGTTTGCGTGTAGAAGGGTGTGTATAAGTGTGTGGCTCCTCAATCTCCGACCGATAATAGACAGTCAGAGTTCGAAGTTATTAAGAAATGCCTCGGTCGCAGATGGCCAACTTCTGGGCTTTCTGGGGAACCAAGTCCAAGCCTGGTATTCGAACGGCGCGATAAATTGTCATGCGGTTGGAGTTGGATGAAAAACGATGATTGCGAGGATGAAATTGAGAAACACTAGATGACAATGATGATGAAAACGAGATGATTTTTGCCTTACCTGCTGGAGTCCCCTTCTGTTTGCAGGAGTAGAGAAGGAGCAGTTTTCGGGGGCGTCCCCCGTTATATAGTGGGCGACCCATGTCGGGGAGGCGACGCTGCTGCGTGAATGCCTGTGGCAGTAATCAAAAGCAGCCGGTATCTTCAGGCAAACACGCTTAGTTGACGATGGACGTTGGCCCACGCGTCTGGCAGAACCCGATACTGGCACGAAATCACCTGACTCATTAAACCCAGGTCAGGGCCGGAATGGGGTTAGCGTCTGTCACAGCCTGTCCGGCCGCTCTCAACATGGTTGCGATAGGCGCATGCTGGACTTCCCTAGCGGCGCCGTAGCGGAGCCTAGAGGATTCACCCAGTGGGCTGGTCAGCGGGGGTTTAATGGATTGCAGGGCGAACTAGCCGGGGAGTTCAGGGCCAAGCCAGCCTTTTGTCAGGGATGATTACAAGCTGTTCCAGAAGCTCCATGCAGAGAGCTGTGCAGACATTCCACTCTGCCCAGTGCTTACCCATCTTTATTATAATTTATTTTTCTTCAAGTACAGCATAGGAAAATTATAGTATTTTGTTGCTCCTCAAAATTCGCAATTGACACTCTTGCTCGTCTTATGCCAATGCCAAGCTAGGCTATTCCCAGGGCAATTCGTGCGGTAGGCGAGTGTCAATTGACTCGGCATTTACACTGGAGCAATCCCACGTCGGCCATACTCTGAGATGATCATTGATGGTTGAGGGAATAGCAGCGCCGTGATAGTGCCATTCACTGTCTCAGTGGAGTCACAGAACCCCGTACATTTCAGGCCTAGTCTCAGGGGGTCATGTACAACCTCTACCGTCATTATGTAAATCGTTCAACAGCCGGACGAAGGCGAGATTCGAATTGGCGAATAAGCGTAGCACTGTTTGGTAGGTAGTGAGGTAGGTACTGTAAGATAGCAGAGCTAGTGTTCCTCTCGTTCAGCACCCGATTGACAATACCAGGCTGCACACATGCGACAAAGCCTGCTGTGTTTACCGTAACTACCGTGCATGTGATGATCAGCAATTGGTTGCTTTTTTATTCTTAGCAAACCATTGCAGTGTTCTGAGACTTTTCTTGCTACTCTCCTGAAGGATTTGCATGATCCAGCCCCAAGTCCCGAAACCAGGCGAGGCCATGCATATGCGAGTCTCTCACGCTGCCTTGCATGTTGAACTACCCAAGTAAGTACCTTGGCTAAATATTGTACACTAAGTAAGGTCGGGTATGGATGTACACTAAGTGGAACAGGCGGGGACAGTTCCGTTTTCCTCCTGCATCCAGATGTAGCGAGGGTATCTCGGGTATGTGTACATACTGGTTATCTGTCTTACACCACGAGCGCTATTGAGACAGGGACTAGGGATCCTATACTACACTACGGTTCCTACTGTCCCCTGCACCGCAACCTCAGCTTCCTGTTAAGATAGTAACCGACACCTTCAGTACTGCCAGTGCTAAATGCTGGTACTGTAGTATCAGCGAGCCAAGACCAATGTGAACAGTGCCCGGACACACTACGGAACGCCATCCAGGTCAGAGAGAAGTTTTCAATTTAGATCCCTGTCGAGCGGGGTGCACTAATTACCACACACATGCAGTACGTTCTTGGGAGATACTGTTAGATGCATGATACAACAAAATCTCGGATTATCCGCCTCACTTCGGCAAGGTAAAACACGTTGCATATTTTGCAGGTCACAATTCAGCGACCATTTATAGAAATGCCATTTATATGTTAAGGAATAATTGCTGCATAGTTCCATAAGCCTTTTCGACAAATTTGAATCAAGTCTTGAAAATGTAACCTCCCATGTCCCCCTCTATCTTTATGCCTCTCCCACTATTTTTCTCTATAAGTCTTAATAAGTAAGTAGTTAAGATGTACCATTCCTTTTACCCTGGCTTTCGAGTCTCTTTTCTTTCTTCGGTTTCTTTCTTGTTTTCTTGTATAGACCCCCAATCCCGAATGCTACCGCTCGAGAACAGATGCAAAGAGAGGTCATTGTGGATGCCCGCCCTCTCCGCCTAGATGTTCTGAGACCGACGCCGACCGAGTGGCGTTTACGACCAGCGATGACAGCGCACCGCATCGTGGCAACGGAGAAGAACAGGGCGAGTGTGTTGCCACTATAGTATGAGTGTTGATGCGCGTCAAAACCACGACGATGGAAATTCGGTCTGGTCTTCCAGGAATTCAGCTGTTCTGGGAGCATTCCCGCCGAAGATTTCAAAGTTCGCTGCGCACCCCGTAGCGAGCGGCCGAGATGGCGTCTTGCCAGTTTTGTCCTTGCTCTTCACCATCTTGATCTCACATTGTCCGTAATCGTCGAGCCAGCATCCAGCATCGCCATGTTTGGAGCTCGACTTGTCGGTCGTCTCCGTCGTGTTCATCTCGGTGTCGTACTTGTCTAAATCGACGGGACTCTCGTGGTACGGAGAGATGTAGCGCTCCTCTCGCCGGGGTTGGGGCCGACTCGGCCCCGACGGGCTGAAAGCGTCCCATTGCTTGTTACCGTACGCCCTGTTCCGCATCGCGTTCC